AGTTGTATTCTTCTGCCTAACACCTGTGTACATAATTTGTAGCGATATATATATATATATATATATATATTATAGCTCGGATGTGGCAGAAATTCGAATACATGTCGTATTTCGAGGAGACAGCTTTGATAATTAATATTTGACACTAATTAAAAATAGTAAAATGTTTTGCTGGACACATCGCGGATCTATCACGAATCAATCGATCTGATAGGTAAAATATTACCATACTATAAAAGTAAAACAGTTAAATGGCGCTTGCAGAGTGACGGCGTTGGAGGTACACGGTACTGACATTAATCATAACTACGAAAATAAAAGTCATAGTCATATAATAAAATATATTTAAGGGGTATTATCGCGGTGTTAAATGTTACGGCGTCGAAGAGTCACCGATAACTGCAGAGCTCGAACTTCAATAATACCTATATGATTATCAGGGTCGGGCTGCAGTGTCTTCGATACAAGTAATACTTGATTATTATATACGTATCACAAAAATAATAAAAATTGAATTCCGATATAGTTACGGGAAACGATACCTAATCGAGTAATTTCTGTTGCGATACAATTTTAATGTCTGATATTTTCCTCGGAAAAATACTTCGACACGCCGGATCTCCCCTTCCCTCATGAGGCCCTGCAGTGGAAATAGTTTACTGTTGAATCTCGTCGAAATGCAAAAAAAAAAAGCAAAAAAAAATCGACATAATCGCTGCTGTTGTTCGACGTGTTTTGTACCTCGCACTACGTCCGGGTCTCCGTCGCGTCCGGCTCCACCGGCGCCAGTTCGTCTGCGAGTGATGGGCAATCCCCAGCAGACGGCCAACGCGTGCGTCAGACGCATGTATCTGTAACAGTCGTCGTCGCCTTCGTCGGTGCGTTTATCGATTGTTTTCATTTCGCACCCCGAAAAAAAACGCAAACGGTTCGGCGATAAAAAAAATTATCGTGTTGTGTGTGTGGGTGTGTGGGTGGTCTCAAGTACACGGCGGCGATGGTGCGATTACATGTCCCGAAGATTTCTGCGACAGTATTATAGCAACAGCTGTGTAGGTATCAGGGTTTTAAATAAATAAATTGTCATACAGTCGGTCGGACGACGGGCTAAAAACGCAATAATTTGTGTCACGTCAAACGGGTTGACGATAGGTAATAATAATTATTATTATTATTATTATTTTTTTTTTTTCATTAAACCTTCACAATCGTTCGACAATATAGTATGTTTTTTCGAACGTCTTCACTCGTGGAAAGAAGAGGGAGCGGTATTACAATAACGACGTGTGGGCGTGTGCACGTGCTGTCCACGCTGTGCCGTATTACTATATATAGGTACTCTCTGCAACACATTAAGTCAATATATGCGTATTTCCGGCGGAAATATTTTATTGTGTAGCAATACGATAACGACACTTGAATCGGACAACGAATATGTACATAGTGATCGATCGGCGTGCGTGTGTATAATTTACGACCGTATATTATATTATACATATTATGTATATGTATACATGACATATATATTTTGTCGTTATTAAATATTTAAAAGGCACATTGTTCGGCGGAATTAGTATTGACTTGAATTTTGGCTTTTGAAACGATGGCGCCCGCCCGCCGCAGTCTGCTCGCTTCAAATGTTTTGATTTAAACATTTCAATTCGTCTTGACGTTTTCAATATTATTATTTTTCAGCTGCATAACGTCTAACGTATAATTGCATATCATTTACATATTATTATCGATTTAAATTAAATTACATTTAAGTATATTATTATTGAGCGTAATAGAGATTTTAAAAAACTTCCACATAATTCCAAATTATGCTACCGGTACTTACATATACTTGATTAAATAAAAAATGTTTACATTGAATTGTATTCATCATTATGCAAGATACTTCCATGCACCAATAAGAGTCGAAGAAAATGAAAAAATGTGCACTTAAAAATACTAAAAATGAATTTTTTTTTATCAGATTATAAAATTAAATCCATAAGTATGTTAGTATTATAGGTAGATACTTACTAAAGATCCATTTTGAATTTTTAAATAAAACTTTGTTAAGATTTCGTTTCTTTATTTTATTATAGCTGCTGGAATAGTAAATAGTAAGCCGATCTTGAATTACGTACACTAATATTTTTTGTTCGTATTTTTATTCATAGACAACCGATATTGATGACAACAATTTCAATCTAAAAAAAAGTATTTAAATTTGGAAATAAAGGTCAAATTTTTACCGTCAAGTGGTTCAATGTTCACTGATTAGAATTATGACTTATCTCGAGTTAAAACAAAACTTTAATACTATAAGAACATTAAAAAAAAGCGGGTAAGTCGTGGATGTCGCTCTGCTGTACAGTAGGTTACTGTAATGGATGGGATTAAATTTGAATGCAATGATAGGTATCATTGTATACGAAAAACGATTCTGAACGGAGATGATTTGTCAGTCTAGGATATATTATATTTAAATATTGTCATATATTCTATTCTGAAACAAATATTTTATTTTTCAATTAAGACGCATTTTGCATAAGGCATGGTTAACCAATTAGTGTAGTTATCATGTAGTAATCATAATTCATAATACCTTATATTATCATAGATATACGAATACCTGGTTTGAGGATAAATCGTTATCATTACGCGATTTCATAAAAATTTAAAACTCAAACGCTCAAAACATTTTTCCTATAATGACGCTTCAAATTTTTTCTATAGCTATTTGAAGCAAAACTTATGGAAAACTTGGTGTTAAATTTTATAATCTTAGATATAAATACAAACAATATTATGAATTTTGAACTACAAAATAATTTGCAAATATTCATGGTTTTGACAAATTTTTGTCAATATTTGAAATTCAAATGCTAATAAAAATTTAATTTGAATTTCCGGTGACATTTTTTTTGTGATAAAGATTGACAAATTTGTAAGGAATCTTGTATTAAATTTTCAAATCTTAGATTTAAAAAGAAATTTTTTTATGAATTTCTAGCTTATATTAATTCGCGAATTTTCGTGATTTTTAGGTATGTTGTCAAAATTTAAATTTAAATGCTTGTAAAAAAAAATGTGACTATTTATTTCTCGTATTTTTCAACTGCTATTGTAAAAATATTTTAGGAGCCTTGAATTAAATTTTCAAATCTTAGGTATAAAAGGAAAATTTTTTATGAATTTCTAGGATGAAATAATTTACGAATTTTAGTGATTTTTACGTATGTTGTCAAAATTAAAATTTGAATACATGTAAAAAAAAAATTGTGGCTATACATTTATTTTATTTTTCAACTGCTATTGTAAAAATATATTATGAGCCTTGTATTAAATTCTCAAATCTTAGAATTAAAAAAAAAATCTTTTATGAATTTCGATCTAAGATAATTTGAAAATTGCCGTAATTTTTACGTATTAAGTCAATATTTGAACTTCAAATGCTAATAAAAAAAAATCGTGTGTATGTATTTTTATAATTTTTTAATCACTTTAAGAATAACTTATGAGGAATTTTGTGTTAAATTTTCAAGTATTTTTATTGGGCCATAAAAATTTTATTGACACTTAAAAAAAATTTCAGAAAAATTGAAAATTTCAGTTGTCTATAAATACCTCAAAAAAAGTCAAAATATTTTCAAAATTAAATCATGTAAAGTAAATGCCAATCTTAATAACTGGTAAAATTTTTCAAATATCTATGACTTATACTTTTTGAATAATAACAAATGTTTAAAATCGTTTGAGGATAAATCGTTATCGTTACGCTATTTCGTAAAAATTTAAAATTCAAACGCACTTAAAATTTTTCCTATAATGATGCTTCGAGTTTTCTCTAGAACTGATTTTTCTCGATTTTTTTGAAAACTGTTGGAAAATGTTTACTTTTGACCTCTATAATGCACCAAGAATCTTCAATTTTTCATCGGAAACCACCCCCAAACTTTGAAATCGAAGCATTATTTCGACTAGTTATGCTGTACACAGACACAAAAAAAAACACACGTCATTGTAAAATCAATACATTCATCACTTCGTTCAGAATCTAAAAATAACAGTTGTAATAAATTACTTAAATAATGTGAATGTAGGTCATTAATATTATTTGATAGGCTGACTTTACAGTCTTTACACATACTGTTGATTTGCTTTATTTTTGTTTCTAAGATCTCTACAAACAAAAATCTATTTAATATAAAACGTACTTACTATTTATTATAGTCTATGCTCTATAATGAACAATATAAATTTTCAAAAAATCTACTTTTAATGTTTTCTTGAAGAGAATGTTGCAGCTGTTATAAAATATAAGGCCGTTATCATATCCATTTACAGTAAGAAGTTAACACACTAACACTACAATTCTAATAATTGAGACTTGAGACAGTCTGTAATGTACATTAAACATTTGAAACAACGCGATATTGAAAAAAATAATGATTATAACTAGCCATTGTAAATACAATGATACACTGAGTATAAATGATATATATTTTTTCATTATTTAACAAAACACATTTTAGCTATTGATTTTGTTAATTATAAAATTCTATTCGAATTTTTAGTTTGATTGTCAACAATTATATTATCATCTAACAAACATATTTAAAAAATTTCAAATGTTCTTTAATTCTTTTATATATTACCTAAACGATTATATATTATTATTATTTATGTGATATAAAATATTTTTTATGTTAATTAAGATACTATACAAAAACTTGCACTTTTATAGAATACATATTATGTGATTTATAACACCTCTTACAAACTCACGATTACAGTTTACATTCGTAATCAACATTGTGTTTCAGATGAATTAGCACACGTTATATTATTACTCTAAATACGATTTAAATATACACCAATATTGTATGGTATAGACTTTAAAGTATTATAATATTATAATAAAGGTACCTATTTTGTTTTATTAAAAGACGATGATCGTATAGAAGCCGCATATAAGGACCCAGAAAAATGATAAGTCAAATGACGGAGAAGACTGATTTATTTTGCAATGTACATATTAATTTTCATACATGTTAGTGTAATTACATATTATTGTAATGTTTTGGGCTATGGCATTTTTGAGTTTGTATTGTATATATGAACTTACATGGTGAATTAACAGTTCTGAAAAAAAAAAGAATAAACAATGATATTGTAATAAATATTAATCATTAATACGTAAGTTATAAATTATATATATGTAGTAACAACTATTTACTGGAAAATAACTTCAACACTTGATTCACTGAATCGCATATGCATTATAGTTATAAATTAATAACTACCTATATGTATAATATTATGTTTGCAATGCATTCAGTAAGGTACTTGGAGCATTCAGCACTAAAACAGCCATACTCGAACTGCGGCACATATTTGTATGTGCCTCCCCTCAAAAAATAAAAATAAATAATACTCGTTGCATCGATACAAAACGTTTTAAAATTTTAATTTAAACCTAATATAATTATAAATATAAATATTATAAATCACACTAACTTAAAATAAATATTTTTTTTTATATAATACATAATAACATATAAATGTATTTTTAATTTTTTTTTCGAATTCCCTTTCCATTTCTACTCGTGATACGCGTAATGTTTTAGAATATATTTTTATGTGGCCAATTAAAAAAAAAAGTTGAGTATGGCTGCACTAGACTATACATGGCTACATATTTACCATCAATTGATTGGTGGCTGGTGCGGCCTTGGCGACTGTGTTGATGGCTTTGAAAGATTGAACTTGTCCAACGACAACGATGTTCATGGATACCTTTTCAGCGCCCATTTTTGATTTTGGTTGGTTTTCGTGGAGTGAAATAGAGTAAAGACTGCAAAAAAAAGAAAACAAACGAATAAGTTTTTATCTATAATATACCTAGTCTCAAAAAACTTGTATTGTCCATGAATATTGTATTATGATAATTATTGTTCAGAAAGTACTCACCAAAGAATAGATTTGCACGAAAAATGCGTTATGCTGGGATCGAGGAGCCCGACGCCTTTTTATACATAAATTCGAGGCGGACAATGAAAGTGGGGCGCCGTGGCGCGATTATTGTGATATTATCGTTGTAGCAAGATGATACGCGCGATGTGTGAATTGTACCTATATTATTTGTATAATTCCAACGAATTAACACGAATTGTACATTTTTAAATCACATGTTATATTATGGTTAATATTTTAAATTTTGTGCATAAACAATGACAATTTATTGTATGTCGATGTATTAATATTGTACCCATAGTACAATTATACTTTATACAACATAATTTTAGAATAAAATATATATATCTAGGATGATTCATAAAGGATGATTCATTTTTAAAAATTAATTTTAACTAAAAAAAATAGCCTTATTAGTTTATGAAATGTTAAGACGTATAGGTTATTGTACCTAATAATTATAAGGGTGAAAAATATTAAAAAATCATATATAGTTCTAGAACAGCATGGATTTAGATTTTGCAAAAAAAAAAAAATATGAAAAAGTAAATAGTTTTTAGAATTAATAAGTGTTTTACGCCTCATGAATCACCCTGTATATTATGTAAAACACGAAACCAGTGAGAAATATTTGAGGAAAAAAATGTCATAAATTAAAACAATTATTAGCATATAAAAAATTATTTTAATTGAAATTCAAGCCTCCCAAATCCAAAGGCCCGCAGTTATGCCTATATGATCCCGTACTTTTGAAGCATATAATAAACTATATCAATCTATGGATAGCAATAAAACCTTTACCGGTGTAACAGGCGATTTTTACCCCCCTGTAAATTTTACCGAGGGGGTAAAAATCGCCTGAGGTAAAAATCGCCTACCGTAACAGGCGATTTTTACCCCCCTGTAAATTTTACCGAGGGGGGTAAAAATCGCCTGAGGTAAAAATCACCTACCGTAACAGGCGATTTTTACCCACCTA